AGGATTCCTTTTCGATTTCATTTGAAGAATATTTGAATCCTGAACTTATCCAACCACCATTGTTTCATGTACATAGTATACTTTACATGTTTAAATGCTTCAAACTATGGACGTACGGTACGGTCCTTTGTTATTGGGGTTTTGGGTTCTGGTTTATTGTGTTTTCAGAATTTTGATTTTTCTGGGATTTGGTTCAATATGTAATTTGGATATATGGGTTCTTATTTTTTTTATAAATAGGTTCGTGGGTTTTGTTGATAATTTTTCTTTTGGGTGGTTTTTGTGATTTCTATGTGTTTGTTTGCAGCTCAGACTTTAGTGTTTAAGTGGTGCTCTCATTCATAACTTTATGTCAGGAGAGTGCGAGTGTGATGTTAATGGTATGGGATTACTTTATGGCAGAATAGTAAAATGATAGAGAATGGCCGATTCACTGGCATGCAGCTTTTGTCTGTTATCTTTTATTCTTCATGTAAATGTTATAGGTATGTTAATGGTAAAATGATAGAATGCGAGTGTGATGTTAATGGTAATGCAGTTTGTTTTATGTAGTGTGTTCTTGAAAATCCTTACTTAAACCCCTTTTTTTTTTTCTTGCCAATCAACGTTTGAATTGGTATGTTGTTTTCTCCATCATCTATTTATTTCTGATTGTTTGTTTTGATTTCTGGCTCAAAATTTAATTGAGCTTGTTCTTCATTGCTTGATTCTGATCTACTTATGTACATTCTCCCATTCTTGTCCTAATGTTGTTATTACAATTTTGTGGTTTTTCTTTGCAAGTTATCTATATACTGTTTAGCAATTACTTTTTTAACTCAAAGGTATATGGCTGTCTGTCATTAGGTTTCGACCAAAAATTGAATCCTGTAATATGTTTACAAACAATAATTATTTAAAGTCTGATATCGGTTCTCATATATCAGCTTTTCAAGTCTGAACTTTTGTGAATGATTCTTCCACCCAATCTCTTTTTTATTTTCTTTCTTATCACTTGTTCCTTCTTTTACTGTGGAAGGCTATTAATTGATATTGATTGATTAATTGCAGGACTGGTTTGGGGACCATATAATTGAGATTTTGGATGATATTGTGGAGATTCTGGAGGAAAAGAACATCTTATGCATCAGTACTTGTTTTTGCCAATTTAAAACAGTCATTTGCTCTTTTGTGGTGTCTACTTAATTAAAGCAACTTCAGTCTGGTTTTAGGGGTTTGCATTTTTGATGGAATGCAACAAAGAAGAGACCATCAGGGCCAATGAAATTGCAGAGAAGAGGATGATGAACAAGGATTTCCATGGGGCTCGCTAAATTGGGCTCAAGGCCCAACAACTCTATCATGATCTGGAAAACATATCTCAGATGCTAATGGTATGTGAAGTGCATTGTACTGCTGAAAAAAGGATTTTTGGGAATGAGATGGACTGGACTGGCATGACATAAAATTGAGCAGACTGCAGATGAGGCTACAATAAGAAGCAGTATAGAAAGTTTGCTCTCCTACTCCATCCTGATAAGAATAAGTTTCCTGGTGCAGAAGCTGCTTTTAAGCTGATTGGGGAAGCTCAAAGAGTGCTTTTGGACCAAAGTAAAAGGTCTGCATATGACATGAAACGCCAGGTAACTCTTGGTAAACCAGCACCAACAGCAGCTGCTTGGCAGCCACAGAGGTCAAGTTGGAAGCCACATGTTACTGCTCAGACCAATTGCCGCACCAACTTTCCAGGTTCAATTCCCCAACAAAAGCAGCCACAACAGCAATGGCAGGCCAACTTTCTGGACCAAGTGTCCGTATTGTACAGTCAAATACCAGTATTATACAGACATTCTCCATAGGACTCTTCATTGTCAAACTTGTGATAAGTCCTTCATTGCATATAATTTGGGTGCAGCTCCTCAGGCAACTGATGCAAGTCAATGAAGGGCTCCCCAACAGAAAGATGTCCACAATCAGGGTGCTCAGAATGTGAAACAAGGATTTCATGCAAATTTACGCACTAAGAATTCCAAAACAGCATCTTCTTCAAAGGCGGCCCATGATTCACATGTTGGAACAGGAAATGAGAATGGTAAGAGAGGAAGGAAGCAATCAGTGGAATGCAGGGAAAGTTGTCATACACAAAGCAGCAGTGGCTCAGAAGATGATATTCTGATTGATGAGAGAAGTAATGTTCAGGCTGGAAAGGATGTTAAATGTCCCAGAGAGAACCTGCGTAGATCTGTTAGGCACAAGCAAGAGGTTTCATACAGAGAAAATTTAAGTGATGATGAAGACTTGGTTAACCCACCAAAGAGGGCGAAGGGGAGCAGTTCATCCAATGCAACTGAAGAAGATGGAGACACACAAAAAGAAGAGACACACAAAATCAACAACTTAACCAATGGGAAGAAGGAAGCCAAGAAGGTATTTGGACAGGAAACAGCAAAAGAGGGTGATCCTAAGAAATGTTCTGAAGCTTGTGCTGATGGTGGTAAGATGAATTTTAATCCAAAAGGTAATCAAATTGAATTCAAAGGTGGGTTTTTGAATTTGATATGTGGGTTTCGAATTTTGATTGCTGATCTCTGTTCTTCATGGTGACCCATTACCCTTTGTCCGCTTTCTTCATCACCACAGACCATCCAATCACCGTCAACCCTGAACTTCAGATTGTGGAGAGACAAAGTTCAAGAAGCATGTTGAAGAGAACCGAGGGAATTAGAGAGGAGATTGAAAGCCAAAAAAAAAAAAACAACCAGCAATTAAAGAGCAACTAGCAGTTAGAATCGAAGCCATCGGGTGTGAGATTAGAGAAGAGATCAGAAGGATGAGAAAACTAATTTTTCACCGGCATTTCTAAAGGAAGAGATTGGTTCCATCCCCTGAACTGCAGGATTAGAAGTTTACAACATATGCCTGAATGGGTATGCACATATTAGTCCTTTCAATTCCTTTTTATTTTTCCTTTCATTGAAAATACTAATTAAAGGTCCATTTATGGCTTTGGTCTGACCAAAATTGAAATCTTTAGTTGCCTAAGATGCTTACGAGAAGAGTCCCACTTTTTTCCACTTGAAATAAGTGAAGTGAAGTGGGTGCACTTTTTAATTTTGATTTGGTTATTTTGTATGGAGATGTGATGAATTGCTTGAAAATGCTTGAGATAAGGACTTTACGTGTTTTAGCATCGAGCTAAAGTGTGAAAGAGAAGTAATTGCTCTCACTTTGCAGTACCTATTTTCTGGGTAATTGGTCGTATTTTCTGGGTAATCACTTTACGTGTAATGAATTGGTCGTATTTTTTGGGTATTTTCTGGGTATTAGTGGTTTAATCTTTGGAGTTTGGATTCCATTTTATTTTATAGAAAAAAGGGTCACTTAAGTTCTTGCTAATTTGTCATGGTGCAGACTTGAGGACCAATCATGCTCATTGTGAAATTCAACAGTGATGAAGAGGCTGTTAAGCATGCAAACGATTCAAGATATTGGCTTGGCTGTGCTGTTTTCTCTGTTTTCTCTGGCTGTGCTTCCCAGATACACCGTGGAGTTGCTGCAATTAATGATTTTGCAACAACTTACATGTGCCAGGTACTTTCTTTCCTTTTCTTTTCCTCACAGTGCTAGGTACATGATTTCGTCTTCTGAATTAGTGTTTACCTTCTGAACAAAGATGAAATGTTTATCTAATTATTACTATTTCCTAAGCATTTATACTTAAAAATTAGTTTCTTATTATCTTTCCTTTTCTTGTTCCAAATCATATCATTTTGCCTTAAAAGAAAAGATTTGTAATATAAAAAGCCAGGAAAGTAACAGTGATTTTCTTTTTCCTGAAATAATGATCCATTAAAAACAACAAAAAGGAACGGAAATGCACCTTATTTCACAAAAATATGCTTACTAAAACACCAAGGAAGGCAGTCATTGATAAGAGTAGAAATTAGAATGTTGGCCATAAAAATAAAAATAAAAAAAAGAAAAGAAAAGAAATGAAAAGAAAATAGAAAAGATACTTCCAGGATTTAGGGCATTAGGAAGTCCTAAACAGAACCATTTACTTGAGACAACATGATATTTATGACATCTAAAAACATATATTTAATATAAGACAATGATATAGTTTCCATACTATTTGAGAACTCCTATAGGAGCTTTTTATGGCAAGAGCAGTGATTAGTGTAAGAGGAGCATCAATTGGTGCTCTGTTTGCAGCAAATCTTGGTGCTTTGATCAGGGCAAAAAAAAAGAAAAAAAAAAGGGAGCATGAATGGTGCAAACCAATGCTCCCTTTTTCATCCATTATTGCAAGAACATTGGTTGATGCTCCATGTACACCCAATCTTAGTGGGTTGAGCACTAAATCTTACTAAATTGTCAAGTTATTGAGAAACATACTAAAAAATCTGTTCCTTTTTTTTTTTTTTAAATGAAAAATTATATATATTGCAGAGTTACTACCATGACAACTAAAGGCAGTTGAGAATTTCTCTAGGAATACCTACAAAAGAAAAAGAAGAAAAAAAACAGAGGCCAAATCAAGGAACTTATTTAGCTATGACTACAAGTCTACAATTAGAATAATAAAATAATCATCTGGTAGGACAGCATAAAAATAAGGGGAGTACCGAAGAGAGCTCAAATTGTTATATAAAAGTCATGATTGGCACACACACGTAATTTCACCTTCATGGCACACATACATAATTTCACCTTCATAATCATATAATTGAAATCTTTAACTCTTTTCTAGCAACTTTTGTGTGAGGGACCTTCATCAGCAAAGTAAATTGAATTTGTTATATATTGAAATATGAAGCTTGCTACAAGTTACATTAGATCTGATTTCAATCATGTAGTTGGAAAACCCTTTTTTAACCTTCTATTATCTTGGCTTTCTAGGTAAAGCTGGTAGTTATATGAAAACTTTCCTAAATAAGAAGATGACAATGCTCTCATTGCTTTCCATAAAAAATGACCATTTCAAAATTGATTCAGAGCACTGTGTCCAAAGTTTAGGTAATTTTAATTGCAGACACATTTAGAAACAAATTGATTGTCATTATGTTGATGGATATAGAATGTTTTGGATAGCACAAGTACAAGTGTTGAATTTAATTCAGGATGGGAAAAGATTTGAAATTAAAACTGAGCTTGCAACCCAGTAAAACAATGCTATTTACAAGTGAATATTAAGTTTAATCAAAGCTATATTTTCTATGTTCCTATTTACATTCATATAAGAATAGGAGAATAGAAATTTGCTCATTAGTTCATTAGGTGTGTTTAGTTATACCATGTTGTGTGATATACTTTACTAGATGGTATGCAAGTATTTTATGAGAGGGGTCCATACATGATATACATGCTGTTTCACATTTTCACTTTCAATCACTTATTACATATTTCCTTATCCCAATTAAATAGTTAGAATTATGCATCCTGGAGGATGGAATGGAATGATGATGCATTGGTCAAAAACAGCAATCATTTAATAAACAGGATACAAATATCTTGAATGTGGACTGCTGGATAGCTTTAGGTTTTGTTTAAGACAAGGATGAAATATAGTGTTTGAGTGGCAAATAATGTAACATATGTAATTACTTAAAAGTGACAAATAATGAAACCAACTATGGCATATATATATGGGAGTTTTGAAAGTTTTTGCCAATTTACCTTGCTTGAACCTTATGAATGGTGGAACAAGTCTAATTGTATATGATTGGTTCCATGGATGCTATTAGTATCAAATATCACAAGTCTAATTGTATATACAGTGTTCCATAGAGGCTGTTAGTGTCAAATATCACAGAACAATTGGGCAAAAAATTCAAACAAAAAAACACGAGATTCAGGAAAATTGGAGAAGAAAACAATAAAAAGAGAATTTGAGAATTGCTTCATAACCTTGAGATTTTGTTTGAATAGAGTGGGTTTATTTGTTATCATCCTTTAGTTGTTGCACCTCTAATAATGTTCTTTTTATTTGTCTGTACAGTGTTCACTACTCCCCTCTTCCATGGTGGGAATTAGAAAGGAAATTG